TAAATACATTTATCCGGAGATTCAGGGTCAAAATTGGGGTATGACAGAGTGTAAGATAACTTTTTGGAGCTTACCTTTGTTTATTTATCGTTCTATTGTATTTTAGTGGTTTAGTGCTCTAATCTTGTAACATCAGTGACATGACACTTTTGTTATGTTTGGAGTTGGCGTCGAATTGTGATGTTAAAGTTTAATACTTTATTTGAGAAGTTCAATTTGAAGTTGTTATTATGTTAATTTCCACTGCATGATGTTAAGTATTTTTTGAAAATTTTGTTGGTTGGTAGTCAAAATGACACCTTAAATTGTCAAGTAATATTTTTTATATATGTTTCGGGGCTTAGGGTGTTACATAGTGGTATCAGAGCAGGTCGGTCCATCCGGATAAGTTTTTGTAATGTTGTATGTTTCCTAGTATGCGACAAGTGTGTGAACACTGTCGGTGCAATGTTTCTTCTAATAGTTTTTACTTGTGTACAGAGATATGGCTAGAGGAAGAAATGACCAAGCTATTGTTGATGCTTTGGAGGTGATGGCTCAGGCGTTGCAGGGTCAGCAGAATTAGGCTGGCGATGAATTTCGTTGATTAGGGAAGTTTCCTAGAAATAATGCGTCGACCTTCAAGGGAAGATATTATCCAAAAGGTGCACATGCATGGCTCAGAGAGATTAAGAAGAATTTTTGAATGATGAACAAAAGGTGTTGTTTAGCACGCATATGCTGTTTGAGGAGGCCGAAGACTAAGGGATAATGCACATCAAAGAATGGAAGATGGAGGTACTGAGGTTACTTAGGATGTATTCATAACTAATTTTCTAGAGAAGTACTTTCCAGAGGACGTGTGTAGCAAGAAAGAGATCTAGTTCCTGGGGCTAAAACAAGGGAATTTGAAAGTTGTTGAGTATGCTAATAAGTTCGAAGAGCTGGTGAAATTTTGTCCACACTATAATAGTGTGGCAGCTGATAGATGAAAATGTATGAATTTCGAAAGCGGAATACGACCTGAGATCAAGCAAGGTATTGGGTATCAAGTGATTCGCCGGTTTTCTCTACTAGAGAATAAATGCAGGATATATGATGAGGATAACATGGCCTGATTTACTCACTATAAAAGTATCAATAAGAAGAAAGGCAAAGATCAGAACCGTGGGAAACCATATAGTGCTCCAGCTAACAAAAGGAAGTCGAAGGCTTCAGGTGAGAAAAGACCAAGTGGGGGAGAGACTCTCGCTTCTATCAAGTATTACAAGTTTGGTGTTATGGGTCATCGTGCAAACAGTTGTATGAGTTCTTAGAAGAAATGCTACAAATATGAAAAGATAGGACATCTCATTCTTGATTTTAAGAATAATGTCATAACTTGCTACAATTGTGGAGAGAAAGACCATATTAATATTAATTTCCAGAAGCCAAATAAGGCCTAGTCTAGAGGGAAGGTTTTTTATTTGTCAAGATCAAAACCTACTAGTTCCGAAAAATTGATTCAAGGTATGTGTTTTATCAATAGTATTCTTCTGATTGCTATTATTCACACGGGTGCAACACATTCTTTTATTTCGATTGATTGTGATAATAGGTTGAATTTAAAGTTGTCTTCTATGGTTGGGGGTATGATTATTGATACCCCAACTAATTATTTGGTGACTACTTTGTGGGCGTGTTTGAATTATCCGCTGACTATTTATGGTAAGAATTTTGGGATGGACCTATTTTGTCTACCATTTAATCAACTTGATGTCCTCCTTAGAATAAATTGGTTGGAGTTCAACCATGTACATATCAACTGCTTCAACAAGATTGTGGTGTTCCCTAAGATTGGAGAAAGTGGAGAGTTGATGTTTATCTTTGCTAAGCGAGTTGAAGAATTCTTGAAGGATGAGGCTCAGGTATTTCGATGTTTTCTTCTTTGAGAATCAATAGTAAAGCTGCAATTGTGGAGCTGCCAGTTGTGTGTAATTTTCCAGAGGTGTTTCCAGACGATATCATTGAATTGCTGCCAGAGCGTGAGGTGGAGTTTGCTATAGACTTAATATCTGGTACTAGTCTTGTGTTGATGGCTCTTTACAGAATGTATGCTTCAAAATTGAGTGAGTTGAAGAAACAGTTGAAAGAGTTGCTTGGGTTGCTACTATTTTTAGAAATCTTACTCAAGGAGTTTCAATTCAATACTTCTCGAGATAGTCTTTACTAAATCTTTGGCAAGTGGTTTAGTAAAATTGTACCATAGTTTTTAAACGGTTAAATATTAAAAAAAATGATATATATATATATATATATATATATATATATATATATATATATATATATATATATATATATATATATATATATATATATATATATATATATATATATATATATATATATATATATATATATATATATATATATATATATATATATATATATATATATATATATATATATATATATATATATATATATATATATATATATATATATATATATATATATATATATATATATATTCTATTAAAATTGTAATTTTTTTAATGAAATAATAATAATTCATAATTTAACCGTTTAAAAACTATGGTACAAAAAATCTTATGATAATACTTAAAATAATTTGTATATATGTTGAAAACAAATTACATAATTAAATACATACAACAACAATATCATTGTATTTGGTTTAAAAGTCATACTTAATTTTTTCTACAGCATCAAAATATATATTAGAATATCAAGAGTTTCATTTTAAATGTTAATGTTTATGATGAATATTTATATCATATTTGAATTTTAGAATTTAAATTATCTTCAAATATATGACTTATAATTTAGGATAAATTTTTTTAGCAAAGTGACTTATAATTTATGACAGAGATAGTATATACAAAATACAGTAATAGAGTGTGGAAATATTTAAACCCGATATTATACCATTCGATCATCATGACATCATATATATTCTCAAAAGTCAAAACACAAGCTTGAGCCATAGAAATTTTGTCAATATGCTTCCTCTATTGTTGTTGTTTTAATAATTGTTTGTTGATATTAAGGATGTTCATGGTTCGTGAATTGCATTGAATCTAACTATATTTAAAGTTTGGTTTAGTTTGTAATAATCATTTCAATAAAAATTCAATTAACTGCTAAAATAGTTATAATTTAATTAAAAACAAGTTTATATTTATAAAGTAGTTTATAATTAATTTATATTTTTAAACCAGTTATATATTTTGAATTCTTATAAAATTAAATTTTTTAACTTCATAAAAATTAAAAAATTTTATATTAAAAAAATATATTCTTCATAATATTTAATTTTAATTTTTTATTTATTTTGTATTTTCGAAAAAATGCTTTCTCGTTTTTTTTTAAAACTTAAGTTTTTTTCATATTTTTGAAAAAAATACTCATTTTTCACATTTTCAAAAAAAATTGATTTTTTTGTATTTTCAAAAAATATTGAATTTTCATGTTTAACAAAATTTAATTTTTTGTATTTTGAAAAAAAATTCGATTTTTTTTTGTATTTTTGAAAAAACTCAACATTTTCATATTTTCAAAAACACTCTACTTTTTCATACTTTCGAAAAATCTCGATTTTTTTATATTTTCGAAAAAACTCTATTTTTTTCATATTTTCAAAAAAAAATTATTTTTTTCATATTTTCGAAAAAAACACAATTTTTTTATATTTCCGAAAAACTCGATTTTTTCATATTTCTTTAAAAATTCAACTTTTTCATATTTACGAAATAACTCGACCTTTTCATATTTTCGAAAAATCTCGACTTTTGCATATTTTCGAAAAATTTCGACTTCTTCATATTTCCAAAATAAATTCAATTTTTTCATATTTTCAAAAAAGAAAAACTCGACATTTTCATTTTTCTAAAAAAATTCTACTTTTTCATATTTCTGAAAAAATTTAATTTTTTCATATTTTCGAAAAAATTCAACTTTTTAGTATTTTCAAAAAAAAACTCAACTTTCTCATATTTAAAAAAAAAACTCAATTTTTTTCACATTTATGAAAAAACTCGACTTTTTCATATTTCAAAAAAATCTAATTAATTTATATAATTAAACCAGTTTATAAAAGAAAATTGATTCTGAACCAATTTTAAACTAAATTTAAATTGTTTTAATTAAATAGTTCAGTTGATTAACCATTTAAATGATTCAGTTTTTTTATAATGCAATCCAATTCAATTCAAATATACCCTTAAGTTAACCATATTTACGAACACCCTTAATTAATTGATATTTGAGTAACACATTTTCATGATTGAACTATATCATGAGCAACAATATCCAAAATGCCAATCAAGATCATTTGGTTTAATGTGTTGAAGACTAGTCCGTAAGACTTAACCAATGAAGTATGGTAGTACAAGTGGATATGCAACATAACGAATTTCCACCAATGAAATGTCAATGTTGATGCCTACGATAAACTCATTTCTTGCCTTTCCCAATTGCCAATGTTCAGTGATGAAATATCTATCATATACTTTCATTTTGCTAATTAGCAACTAGCAAGAGGCTGAGTCAGGGATCTTGCTATTAAAATGATAAATTTTAATATTGATTTGCAGTGAATCACTTAGGCCAACAGTCCACAGGAGAAGATAGTAACCATCTCAAGACTAGCAAAATTCAGTAATGAAATTCAGTTCAATGATGAAAGAGTTTAACCTTTGACCGCTATGCTACGTTTTGATTTGTTTATGTATAATGTATAGCTGTTTAAGCTTTTTAATCCACATAGTGATACAAATCCAGCCTACAATATGAAATGTAATATATTCATTCAATATCAACATTTTCTGTTCTTTACTCCACAGCTTTTGCCATTGATAAATTTTATCTATTCCATTTCATACTCACCTCCATCAAGAAAAGAAATGAATGGTTCATAGCTGTGTATCCAAAGAACAACTCCCCATGTCCAAACTGACCTTGTTAATTTCATTAATACAACATTACAATGTATCTATTGTATTAATGACATTAATGATGCATCATTCAACTTTTGCTATCTCTCCAACAGGGATGCTGTTTTCTGCAACCGTTTCCCTTACAAATCTGGAATTTCAAGACCAGGAAATTGTGATTGCGAATAGACATACACATTGTTTTCTACAGCCTTGATCAAAGAAAAAATATCTTGCTAAAAAAAAGAATAAAATACCTTTCCAATTTTTCGCGTGAAGATTGCAATGTGTAGATTGAGAGGATGAAAGACAGTAAGAGCCCTGGACATATCCATTGGACATTAATATTATAAACAATAGCAACAAAAACGTTTTCTTTAGGCAAAATGCAACTTAGAACAAAGATGAATTACCAAAATACACACTCATTGTCCATGACTGGTAAGACACTAAGAAAGATATTGCAAGACGAAAATGAAAGCTAACAAGATACCCCATCTTTATAAATATATTAATGAAAGTAAGAATGATATTTATTTACCTGAACCAAACAGAACAAAAAATCCGGAAGTTACATCAATCTCGGAATGTTCCTTCCTGAAATATTTCAGAAAGCATACTCAGCAAGTTTTTCTACAAGCTATATTATACAAAGTTCAAATGCTAATAAATACAGACAGTTCATGCATCTATCACCAACTGACCCAAAAACAGTAGAGTATGTGATCATTCGGATGCTTAAAAAGCACTCAAATTTTAGGAATGGAGAATTCTATTGAGGCCTTCAGGAAAAGTGTTGTTCAAGATTTAGAAGCTTTTAAGACCTTGTAAATAAATAAATGGACGACAGTATCACCAAATTGTGCACTGCAAATTAAACAAAAATTATGTTCCTATAATGACAGTAACTGTGCCACAAGAGCCAACCCTTAGTTTGCAACATGTTTGCTAAGTCATTTATAAAAAAGGTCGAGATGTTATTTTGATTTGTTCAAAATGTTAACTGGTTCGGCAAAAAAGAACCGTTGACTAGTATTCTATTTAAGATTTGACCATAACTCATGTCCTACTGCATCACAAAAGCAAAAACAACGGCGTAGTGTTATCTTTTTAATCATAAATCACATCTAATGACAAACCATATTAAATCTTTTTTTTAAGGATTTTTCTTATAGATGTTTCTTTGGTCCCTCTTTATATTTGACTATTGAAACATCTTTCTTCTATTCTACCCTCCTCAATGATAAGTCTTCTCCACATACTCCCAAACCATCTAAGGAGACTCTATCATCTTTTACACACAACAACCTATCCAACCTTTTTCTCTAATACTTCCACAGTTCCACTCCTAAATTCCTGATCCTATCTTGCCTTGCATATTCACATATCCATTGTAAATTCCAATTCGAATCATATACTAGTGTAACACAGCTCAAATAAAAATTCAGTTGAATAACACTACTGGCAAAACAAGATTGCAAAAAGAAATTAAAAGTTCTAGCGTTGTAAACCCACCGACCAAATGACAGATGCTTCATAGCAATAAATTGTGTTTGAAATAGATAAGCCATATATATATATATGTAGATAGAGTTGTAAATCAAAAACACCAACCATGTGTATCGGGCAAGTATATGCTTTGGCCAATGCTGAGCATCCCAGAAGTGTTTACCGATCTCGGGATGAATTTCAACATCTGTAAATTCAACATAAGTGTTTTGGCACGATAAAACCCAAAAAAAAAAAAGTTATAATAGTGTAACTTAAGTAAATACTGTCTAATGTTTCTCTTAAATGTAAATGACTAATGGTATATTGGTATTTATCAAAGTGTAAGGAATCAGCTTACTTGTTATTTTCATTAAATAAACACAAATTTAGAGGAAAAGAACATTACAAAATAAAATGTTGATAAAAATGAAAATTACAAATTAAGGAACATTAAATAAAAAAGCTTTTAGATCCACCAACAGTTTATGGGCACAGATTTTGACATTTCCACGACATATCTTGAGAGCATTAGGTCACTGAATATAGAATTTAAATTTAACTGATATTTACTCAAGATAGTGTAGCTCAGTTCTATACACCAGAAATGCTCTACTGAACACTGCTCTTCTCTGTTTCCTTATTTTCCTCTTTTCTTCTGTTCTGCTGGTTTCCTTTCCCGCTGTTCTCTATTCATTTGTCATTTTGTTTACTTTTAGAACTTTAATTAGTAGTTAAGTTACATTGAGTTTTAATTTTTAAAGATAGTGATATATGGCCAGAGTTGATTATAATTATTAAGTACGACTACTCCTCATATTTTTTTTGTATTTTGCTCTACTTTATTAAAACTTATGTTTAGTTTGCATATTGTTTTCAGTCTTTACAACGGCAGATATCCCACTATTCCACTACAGCGGTTTTGGGGTCCAGCACTCTGCAGTCCGCGCCGGTATTCGAGATTAACAACATAGATATTAACCCAAAAAAGAGACATCAAAGCATGTACACCAACAAAACAAAGGAACAGAAGAAAACAGGACTTCATGCCGCAAACACTGTCCGAACCCATTTTACAGCTAATTGCCTCCCTATTCATTTGCCATTTTGTTTACTTTTAGAACTTTAATTAGTAATTAAGTTACATTAGTTTTGATATTTAATGATAGCGATAAATGGCAAAGATGACTCATTATCATGTAAGATTACCCCTTATATTTTTGTATTTATGTATCCAGTTAGAATTTATGTTTAGTTTGCATATTGTTTTTATGCTTTGCAATAGCAAATATCCTGCTATTCCACTATGATACCGGTTTCTGAGTCCGGCGCTCTACAGTCCGCACTGCTACCCGAGATTAACAAAATAGATATTAACCCCAAAATAGAGACATCAAAGCATGAACACCAACAAAACAAAGGAACAAAAGAAAACAGGACTTCATGCCGCAAACACTGTTCGAACCCGTTTTCCAGCTAAGAGCCTCCTATTCTTCCTCTAATCCTGCAATATCCCTTCCCCTCTCAGCTCATACCCTATATCCTCCTACTAATAGCCTAGCAGGCCTGCTCTACTGCTAGGCCCGTCTTTTTGTTTAATTCCTTTACTTCTATAAGCAAAAGTCAGGTTCCCATCAGAATAATAATACTATTGCAACATGTCAGAAACCAGTAAGCAGTATATAAAAAACTTAATTGCATTTTCATAAATTGCATTAGATAAGAACAACGTACAGTGATGTGGCATATCCACAACTTTTGCAGTAACACCAAGCAAATCACTTCCTGAATATTTCTGCACAACAATAAAATTCCAATCAATCCATTTCCCAGTATCTCTGTTTTATTATTTACATCCACAAACTCATAACCCAGCACAATAATTTGCTAAATTGCACAATTTGATGAAGATGATCTATCTTAAACACATCATTACCAGTTCTATATCAATCATTGGAACCTCTGTACTTTTCCGATTAACCACTAAAAGCCATGGGATATAAAATTTCTCCTTTCCAACTTGAAATGATCTGCATATAAATTTTAAAATAAAAATCATAACCAAAATTTCTTCTTCAATTTAGAGGGCCTCAAGAAAGTCCTGTAAAAATCATAAAACGACAAAACTCTCCCCCATATTGCATAACTGGTACAACTGCACAGAATTTCTATCACCGGTTATTCCTTTAATTTCCTACTACAAGATTCTATTTTTACCGACACTTCTTTCTTACAAAATGCACACTACAAAAAAAAAAATCAACATCTATTACTAGCAAAGCACTTGGTCAATCTAGCTAAAACCAGTGTTGCCCAGTGTATATATGATGGCAGCACCATGCCGTTTTATGATGGAAATGTAGATTATAAATGGAGGAACTTCGGCTTTGTGACATGATCTGCCATTGGTAACCTATAATTGGTACAACTGCACATAATTTCTATCATCAGTTATTCCTTTACTTTCCTACTACAAGCATTCTATTTTTACGGAGATTTCTTTCTCACAAATGCACACTATAAAAAAAAATCAACATCTATTACTAGCAAAGCACTTGATCAATCTAACTAAAAACAGTGTTGTCCAATATGTGAAGGATGGCAGCACCATGCCGTTTTATGGTGGAAATTCTGCCTTAAAATGGCAGAACTCGGGCTTACTGATCTGCCATCCACAATCTATAACACCAGCTAAAGATCAACCGGCTTCGATTTGACACACACTTTTTCCATAGGATTTTTAATCATCGTCTCAAAATGATGCATCTGAATGAAATGCCTGTTTTCTCAAACTACTATGTCTTGCCTAGTGCATTTTGAACTAGAAAAATCTATTTAACCAAAAGCAAAATTACCACAGACCAAGCAAATTCAAACATTGTCTTGAAACGCAGTATACAGAAGAAAAATTCTCACATTTTATAAGGATCAGCCCCAGTGTAACCCGTTGGCTTAGGTAAAGGCACCAAAACCTGAAAATCCAATTGACATAAAAAAATTACAAATCGCAATAACCATATAGCACAAATAAATAAAAATTAGATTCAAAAAAAGAAATAAGAAAAACAAAACCCTAATTTTACCAAAATAGAACATGCGCACCTCGCGATTCACAGCGAAGATTGGACAATGGCGGCCAATGAGGTCCTGCCACACGGTTCTCGACTGCAATTCGAAAGAAAAATAGACAAAACGGTGTCGTATGAGAATGAAAGGAACAGTAGAGTAATGAAGAATTGCGAAAAGAAAAATTGAGGGGACGAACGGAGTGGTATTGACCCATGCGGCTCATAGGGACGATGTCGCCGGGTTTGTAAGCGAGAGTGATCGAAAGTAGAGATGATACTAACAGAAGTAGTAGCCACGGTGGAGAGAGAAGCGGGTTCACGGTGGTTGCAGCCATGGCTAGCTATTAGCTACGAACTGAACTTTGTTGACTCCTCTGTCGTATTATCGTTCATTCTGCACCGTTTAGGAGTGTGATGTCGTTTATGTTTGTTGGGCTGGTCAATTGGAACCAAAATGTGGCCCATAAGTGTTATTTAGAAGAAAATTTAAGAGAATTTCATATTGAACCCGATATACTTCTAATACATCATGTGAATTTCTTCATATTTTTTTTGATTTTGGAGATTCACCTTCGAATGCACCTCATTTCTGAATAAATGTTGACGTATTTTGGAGATACATCTCTAAATCAAATTTAAACATTCAGAACATATCACTCATAACTCATTTACATTTGAATTGTTCCCGAGATGTATCTTCGATAATATTCTGAAGATACATCTGCGAAGTGTATCAGAACATGTTTTTTTATAACGAGTTGTGTATTTGTTTTCAGATGAAGTATGAAGACTAATATTGTGTGTGTCGAAAAGACTTACAAAACAATAAAACTAACATTGCGTGCGTCGAAAATAATATAGCAATATAATAGTAAAATGGCGTATAACACGAGATCCAAAATGTAGTAACAATGTCAGAAATAAAGTACAAACTATAGTACTGTATCAAAATAATAACATGTTACTACTTGGTGTGCTTGATAACCTCTCGTCTACCTCCTCGCCCATCAATCCCCCCATCCTCTGGTGATGTCTTTGGTACAACATTACCCCTTGTGCCTCTGCCACCATGGCATCCAAGACTCGCCTGACAGTAGACCCCTCAGAGAAGATACCCTCGTCAATGTCTGTCTGCGCAATCTCCATTATGCAACGACACATAGGTAAGACATCATCAGTATGATGTAGCTGAGCATATTGCTCCTCTAGTATTTCTTGATGAGCTGGTCTTGGCGGATCTCCTGGAGCAGTCTGGAACATGTAAGGATGTGACACCTTGAAGAACCACTTGATGTACCCCTCGACGTGGCTCCAATCATTCGGCTCTATGGTGACCTGTGTCTTCTCCAAAACCAGGTGATTCTCATAATCAGCAAACATCTCCTATATCTGTCTATGAGACAAGGCATGAGGAGTAGAGACAGTAGGGTGTCTAGGGATAGTCTAGGTGTACCCCAACTGCCGCATGACGCACTCGGGAAGATGAGGAGCAGTGATACATGATTTGCAGGCCAGCCATCCAAAGTATAGCGATATATCGCCAAATGGTCGCGTCTGATGGTGATCCACATAGTTGTTGAAGTGGATGTCCTCAGCAACCAAACGGTCAAGATAGACTCTGAAAGGCTCGGCCGCCTGGTTCCCTCCGAGCAAGATAAAAGCACGGGCATGCGACATGTCCTTAGTGTATTCATCCATACTCGCGTTAGCCAACGATGCGCGAGAAGTGTTTGAGGATTCAACCCTAAAATAAAAATAAATAATAAACATTCAAAGGTTAAGAATTATCATAAATATGAAGTGTAAATGACAAAAGATTAAGAATTATTACTGCCAATAGAGTCACATTGCATGTGACGTGCTCCGTCTTCCACAAACATCTTTATCTCTCTCTCTCTCTCTCTCTCTCTCTCTCTCTCTCTCTCTCTCTCTCTCTCTCTCTCTCTCTCAACTTCAAATATAGATAGGCAAGGCAAGCCACCCCCATTAGTAATCATGGATCCGAGTGAGATCCAAAAAGTACTAGAGGTATGCAACATTAGTAATAGTGGCACTGATGTCCACAAAAATGCAAGTGCCAACCAAAAAAAGAAAATATGCCCTCAAAGTATGAGCCTTGTGTACCGCCACCTGCTCAACATCACCATAAGCAGATTGTGCAACAACTATCTCCTCATCATATATCTCCTTTAGAAACTCAAATCTAGCATGAGCACCTCTGGTCTTATCCACCTCTTTAACCTCCTTCCTTGGATCAGCCCTCAGATGCTCTACCATCATCTTGATTGCCTCGTCTCTAGTTATCCTACCATGATCGAGGAACTTCCCCCCTGATCGGAAGATGTAACAAACACGAGACATCGTCCAATATGATAGATATCTCACTATACGGGAGATGAAACGAAGAGGTATCAGAATGACATCTCTCCACGAATGCATTAAGCATCTCATGGTTGACCAGAGTGTAACCGGTCATGCATATGTCCTTCAGGCCAGATAACCCAAGAACATCCTAAAACCAATCCTCCTTCTTTCGAGGCAACGTAGCAATCTTCCTCCCATGGTTAAGAAACTTCTGAGGATCACGCACTTGAAATTTACCAGAAATAAACAATGTTAGTAATACTCAATTTCAGAAATAATTAATGTCAGCAATTAAAATTGACGTAAAAAATAATGCAAAAGTCCAACTAATGTTACCTCTCCATCCTAAATATGTCTGGCAGTGTGGTTTAGACACAAAGCAAGTAAGGACAGATCGTATGGACCTCCTCCAAAACCCTCTGACTCAGCATCCGCAGCATCCTCACCCTCCGAAGGTGGTACTGGATCAGCATGATCACCAGCGGAAGGTGGCACTAGATCAGCAGGAAATGACACTAGTGTATTCTGACGTCTATGGGAGGATAGGGGAAGTGAGGCGTCAGTTGATGAATCTCATCTTCTTCGGGAGTAAGAAGAATGTGGAGTGGCTTGAGGTGAAGGACGAGCTCTAGAAGTAGACTACACTCCAGAAGTCGACGGCTCTGTCTAACCAGATGTACCTGCTGGCTCCGCTCCTGTCGAACAGATACATGTTGGGCAACCCGATCATGTCTCAATCTGCCATTATGAATGTAAGTTAAATTAAGACATATCATTAGTGCATGTAAACAAAACACATAAATAATAAAACTTTAAAAAAAACTGACTGCGGGATATTTCAGAGATATATCTCAGGAAACACCATAAAATAATAACGTTGAACAATTCTAAAGACGTATCTCCAAAAACACCATAATACTATTAAATTTGAATAATTCCAGAGATATGTCTCCGGAATATCCCAGAGGATATGAAACACTGAACAATTTTGGAGATGTACCTCCGGAATATTCTGCAATTCAGAGGTCGCAACAATGGCATAATGTGCCTATTGCAATGTGAAAAAATGACCTGATCACCATTTTGAGCCAACAAACAAGTCATACACTAAGTCTAAACTATGTTACTCGTGATTTCTACACATTTCTAGCCCTAATCACTTATTTTTACACATTTACACTAAAACTCGAATATTTGCCGAAAACTCGAAAAAACTTACGTGAAATTGATTATTCAAATGTTGTTTCCTATATTAGAGGTGATGCTTAATATTCCCTTGAGTTCCTTTGAGCCTTGCTTTATGAAATTTGATGCTTGGTGTAGGGAAGTGTGTTGAGAGAGTTTGATGTTTTGTGTTGAAACTGTGAAATGAGGGAGGAGAAGAGTCTTGCACGAGTTATACTTCAAATTGTTCCAGAGATATATCTCTAAAATATTTCAACGTTCACTAAACTTGGGGTGCGTCCGAAGATGTATCTCTGAAATCAGGGGGCATATGTGGAAATTCACATGGGTGCACTAGAAACATATAGGATGCATTAAGAAACTCTCATATTTAACTTCATACCTTCACATATACACTCCTACCTCCCATACAAATACCTAATATTCCCTAAATACCCTTATTTTATATCAATTTTTTTAAAATCACATCCATTATTGGAAAAAAAAATAGTAAGTGTTTCAAAACTACTTGATTTGAGTTGTGAAAGGTTCAATTTGAGTATTTAAATCGTCTATTTCAAAATTAAAAAATACAACTAATTTGAATATTCAAATTGTAATTTTGGAATTTTGAAACTTTCTCTATACTACTTTATTCATGATTTCTAATTTTTTCTCTAATATGGAAAAATGGAAAGAAAAAAAGAGTTATACATAAATTTAACACATGATTTTACAATTGATCATAAAGTTGATACAGGGGAACATAACTTAGAGTGGAGTAGAGATTGAAATAACAAAATATGATGGTTGTTATCATTATCATATTTGATATAAAGATAAAGAAAAAATAGTAGTGAAGACAAAATTGATAATGGGTTGTGATATGAGTGACAGAGGCATCCACGTGAGAGGATAACAAAGTATAATGGGTTGTGATAGCTCGGTGTCGCTACTGCGAAAATCGGCGCCAGCTTGACAGGAGAGTCGCCACCGTGCGTTATTTATCCCTCAGAGCGGGAAAGGAAACGCTCGAAGTAAACCTCGCAAAGACGGGAAAAGGTATGGTCATCGCAACCAAAACCTGGATTCGGGAGTCGGTTACGCAAGGGGAAGGTATTAGCACCCCTCACGTCCATCGTACTCGATGGGATCCACGCTTGGTGTTTATAGGTAAAAGGGGTGTGTTATCTATCTACGCTAATGGCTGGTCTGAAAAGAAAATAAAAGGACAGGACTCGACAGAACATACGGTGTTCTGGGCCTACGTATTCCCTCGTGCAATGGGAAAGTCAGAGTCAACGTAGTTCGACTTCCTACGTCTAAACAGGGGAAAGGTTGCTCGCCAGGACATCGCGTCCTGTGCCTACGTACTTTCATCGGGAATGAAAGATCAGAGCAAACGTAGTTCGGCTAACTACGGGTAAACAGGGGTTCTCACACAGCAGTGAGAAAACAAACTGGTCTCTAAGGCTCGGGAACCTACAAAATACGATCTGGTCTCAAATGCACTCGGGCAAGAGAAAAGGATAACAATTAGTCGTTAGCGGGAAAGTCTCGATCGCACAGCCGCGAGAGAACAAAGGTTAGTCGTTAGTGTGCTCGCTAGGATATCGCATCCTATGCCTACATATCTTCGTCTGGAACGAAGAATCAGAGCAGCTGTAGTTCAGCTAACTACGGGTCAAGCTACTCAAAAGCTCCTACAGAAAGGAAAGGGAAACCCTAGAACTATAGCTGAGAAACAGGGGAATCTACCTACTGCTATCACACCCGGTTGACCATCCTAATGTCTATCATAACAACT